GTGTGTGCGCTGAGCATGTGAGTGTGTATGGGAGGGTTTTATTTGAAGATGAACCTTACTAGCAGGAATGGAGACATCGTCACCACCACCTTCATCAGAGACTGGTGTAATTTATATATAAGAGAGAACCTTTTGTACATGGACTTATCGGTTTCCATTTAAGAAGACGTTTTATGATATATTTTATAAGTTACTTTAAAACCAATGGAAGCCGATGCAAAGCGGGGAGATGTCTGCATTCAACCAGAATGTTTTCGCACTGGTAAAAGTAGATTTTGTAAACCACCAGAAATAAAAGCTCTTATACGTAAGGAATAAAAATGATTAAAACCACCAGCCGAGTTTTGATTACGTCTTTTGAATGTTTAAAGATCCTGAAGCTTGGGGAAGGTTGGATGATTTGGTGAGTTTTGAGGCAGGAAGATGGTAAAACTTCAGCACTTATCCCACTTTTTTTTTTTATGTTTTGTTGTTGTTGTTGTTGTTCTTACTTGTGTATAAAAACTCTGGTTGATTGCAGGCCCTGTGCACTGCTTTTCCACAAGTTTTTTTTGGTTTCTGGAAGCTACACACTTGCTGCTAAATACTACAAAGGACTCAAAAGGAGGAGAGCACACCTGTTTTCCTTGTCTTGTTTTGTTTTCTTTTAAATAAAAATGCGTTAACAACATTTGCAGTATTTATTGGACGTCTCCTAACGTAGAGGTTACGTGTTGGGCACCAGTTTGTTTCCGGTTAAGTTCCTGTCGTCGTCTTCTTAGCGTTAGTTTCTGGTGTCTCCAAAAAGGTTTTTGTTCTCCCTCTGGGCATTTAAATACCTGTAATATAACTGTAACATATTTCCACAAAAAAGAAAGAAAATCCGAAACTTACAAAGTGTTGTGTGGTTATTTGTTTCTACCCTTTATCACTGAGGTTAAGCATGTTGAAAGTATTTATTGATCTGTCGGCACTGCTAAAGTTAGGCAGTAGAGGGCAGTGTTGGACCTAATGCTGCAGTAATTATTTGGCACCAGCAACATGCCTTGGCTGTATAGCAGTTTTGAGCCACTTTGACTGGACTACAGATGTAACTATAAATGCCTTTGTAGTAATAAACATTTATGATGTAAAGGTTAAAACAGCAAACACATTTTATAACTTTAGACCCACGGGAATGATTTTGATTCAATGAAACTTGGCTTTAATTGTGACTGTGGGAACAATCCAGTTCTCTAAAACGTGACTTCACTTTTGTAATTTTATATCAGTAATGTTTATGTTACCAGTGGTTTATTCTGCTACGTGATTTGTAGAGAAGTATCAATTCTAAGTAAGATAAGATCAACTTGTCCAAAGGTTTGGATATTCTTTTGTTACAACAGTCAAAAATCAGCTTGAACACAACAAATGTATAACAAAAAGCTTAATGAGTAGAATCGTATGTACTTTAAAGAATATGAGAGAACAACTACATTTATTTTGTCTAATATTGTCAAAACAAATCTGAAATCAATGTAAATATCTTGACGTTAAACATAAATAACAAATAGTGCAATAAAGTGACTTTGTGTTGTCACATTACAGGGTTAAAATAAACTGTTAAATAAACAACCTTATACATTTTCTTGTAAAACTTCCTGATAAAAATGTCGTGAAAAATACTAAACTAGATATCTAGTCAATTCTTTATGAGTCTGAAGAAGTCACTTGGATGAGTGACGAAACGTTTCTCCCAGAAAACACTACGTCCAGATGAACAGAATCAACTTTTGGAGATGATTTTAAAGAACTTTTATTGCCTGGAAGTTAAACAATCACACAGATCAGACACTACATATGTGTGTGTCTAGAAATTATTAATTGCAATTTCTGTTCTTTATCCAGATGTTTACATCCTTTCTCAGTAATCTTTCATATCTCAATATTCACATTTTTGTGGATCATGTTTACAACTTTATAGATTACAGTCAGTCGAGTGAGAACAAGTCCCCAATATAATATGTTCTGCTATTTACCAAAGCTTTTTAAATACATCTATTACAAACCTAAAAACTCTACAAAATGGAAACTTTTCATTAGATTTAATTTCTTTTAAAATTGACATGAATAAAAATATAGGTAATCAATAGATTTTGTCCCAGTTCCTTCTATATTATTACGATTATAAGTAATTTCTGGGTTAATTTCTAATTATTTATTTTCTAAGGCAAATAAGTTTGTGCAAAATGTTAAAGTAGTTATAAATATTGTCAGAAGAATCCATTCCATTTGCCACAATCTTACCAATAATTTTTTAGCTTAATTATTAAACATGATGTCTGATATACTTGGTTTGTTTCATCTTCTTCTGCATTACTTAAAAAATCTGTCTCCATGTTTTTAATTCTATTTGTAACAGAATAGTTATTTATCATACCTTTATTGAATTATTTTTCAGACGTTTTTGTGCTATGCCTCTTCTGAATAATATGTCTTGTAAAAACGAAAAAATATAATAATGATAATCAGTAACAATTTCTTTCTTTCTAATAATAAAACATTTACAAAAATAAGACAAAACAGACACGGACATCATTGCAGCAATCGAAAAGCAAAATTAAATTTCAAATTAAAATCTGTATATTAATAATGTAATTGGTGAAACTACTGACAAACATCAAGATCTTATATTTTCATATTAAATGAATGTATTTTAAAAGACGCACTGACTTTATAGATTTACATTTTATTTGTAAATTCATGTGTCTTGTTCCTTTAATTCTGAGATTCCTTAATGATTTGGTCTCTATTCATTTATTGATATTGAACAGCTGAATATAAATGAAGTGCTTTACATCCAAGCTGCATCAAAGCTCTCACTGAACCCCCAACCCCAGACAGCAGCCTCAAACTTGAAGGAGAGCTCAACACCGTCTTTGCTCAGTTTAAGCCCCCACCCTCCCCCCTTACCCAGCACACCCCATGAGGTCAGGAGCAGACTGAGAACGGTAAACCCCACGAGCCAGCTCTGATGGCATCCCCGAGGCTGTGGTAAAAGCTTGCCCAGACCAACTGGCAGGGATCCTCACCAGGCTGTTCAACCTCTCTCTGACTTATGCCACCATTCACCCCCTTCGGAAGGCTTCCACCACTATTCCCACACCCCCACCCCCCCAAAAAGATGGCATAGACAGCCTCATTTTCTATAGCACCATAGCCCTCGTGTCTGTAGTCATGAAGCCTTTCTAGCACAAAGTGTCTCAGCACATCAGAGCCTGTCTACCGCCTCCCTCGACCCCCACCAGTTTGCTTACAGATCGGTCCACAGAGGATGTCATCACATCGCCCTGCAGATCCATCTGGAGAACAGAAAGAGCTACGTGAGGATGGTCTTCGTGGACTACGGCTTAATGTTCAACACCACCATTGCAGACATCCTCACCATCGAACTCCACCATCAGTCTGACCCCCCCCCTTCTCTTGTTTTGTATATATTTCTTCTGTTTGATATTTATTCCTGCTATCTTACTATTGATAATTTACTTCTGCACAGTTGGTGTTAAGCACCCATAATTTTGTTGTACATGTACAATCACAATAAAGGGCTATTCTATTCTATTCTATTCTATTCTATTCTATTCTATTCAGAAACCCTGATTCATTGTTCTATTCTCTTATGTTTGCCTACTTTTAGACCCGAGGCATGATTTGATGACTGTGTCTGATATCGGGCTCTTTGATGTTGCTTTCGTGTTTCTTATTTGGAGAAAAAACCTGGCACTTGTCATCTATTTAAATTTAAAATGTAATTTATTACCCCAGGTATTTCACATGAGGTACGATTTGTGCCCACGTTTAAAAAAGTTTTGCAAATATAAATCATATAAATCACATAGATCTGTGATTTTAAGGATATTAAGCCCCCGTAGATAACAAATAACACACGTTCACACCTTTTTCTTATTTATTCAGCTGCTTATTTGTTTTTTTCCCTAAAAATTAATTCCTTAATTACACATAGTGTATTATTACATGTATTTTTCTTTTTTTGTATAATTGTTAAATGCTAACGGTATTTTCTTCTCTTTTTTTGTCTTATCTTTTTTTCTTTTCACGATGTCTGCTTTAATGCATTCACATTTCTTTGTTAAACTGCATAATTTTCTGTTCTCTTCAACATTTAATGCCCCTAATTTATAACCACAAACAAACAGCAACCCTTCAAACTTTGAGGAGGATTAAAGTGACTCTGCTTATTTGGTTTTCAGACCTTTAGGGAAAGAAAAATCTCCTAATCCCAGGCTTCTTCCACCATGACTTCTGTGACCCGCTTGCTTGCTGGTGCTAACAGAGAACATGCTGTGCAGCCTGACATCACTTTACTGAGTGTGCTTTTGTGGTTTTCCAAAAACGTGGTGGTATTAATTTATGATTTACACTTTGACTGCTCAGAGAAGAAAGGCACAATATAAACACTGGTCCATTCAGCAGATGTTTCCTAGAATGTCTTATTATATCCTTAAGAGCTGACTTCCTGGACTCACAGAGTTTGCCAACCTCAGCTTTTGATTAGAGCTTGGACTTCACCCTCGTCTCCAGTGCAACTGTCTCTCACATAAGGCTGTCTCAAGAGGGCACGCGGCATCCTACGGGACTGTACACACCCAGGACATCGGGTGTTTAAGCTGCTGCCGTCCGGCAGGAGGTTCAGGCTGCTGAGGTCCCGAACAAA